TCTGTTGCTTTCATTACCCGAAGCCACTTTCAGAGTCATGAGCCGTTCTTTTCTGTCTACGCTAGAATCCCCCATTGCTTGCGTAGACATCGACGGGGTTCCTTATCGCTTCTACTACCGTTGACTTGGGAATTTTTAGCCGTGCCTTTTGTGTAATTTTTGACGGCCTTGTCGCCCGAGTACGAACAATCAGGGAGCCCAATGTCTCACTTCTCACTATTTGCTGATGTAAGCCGGGTATTTCAGTAGGACATTCCTAGGAAGTTGGTGGACCTGCCTTAGCAGTGACCCCCAATTTACACACGTCGGTAAGGATGAGCTGTATGGCTGCCTAAGCAAGAGACGAGAAAAGGAATCACCTACAACACATGTGGCTTTGCGCCAAATTGCAGGGATATTAGGTTAATGATTAAGATTGGTGGTAAGGTCAGAGTTGTGGTTGGGGTCAGAATCATTTTAAAGGTTACAGTTTTGGTTCGTGTTGTCTGCAGAGTCTAGGTTTAGGGTTAAGATTACAGTACGGCGAATGCTGCAAGCAAATGGCGCAATTTGCGAAAGACTGGTAATCACTCGCAAACGAACACTAAGTAGGCTTGCAATTTATTAAATTTATGAAGGCAATCAAAATCCATGATAAAATGCATACTGTTAAATTAGCCATTTTTTTATAGAATCTGCTCTTTGTAAGCCATCAGAAGGAAGCTCATCACAGAGCCGGCATCCTGACGTGACTGAAAAGACTTGAAATTATACTACAGGGTCAGCAGCTACCCTTTCTTTATGTACTCGTCATGCGAACTTCCAACGGCGAGATCGAAACAACGGTTTACAGGAAGGCGACAAACACCACACAACTTCTCAGCTTTTACAGCAACCATCCAGTGGCTCATAAACGAAGCCGCGTGAGAACGCTGTTCAAAAGAATTCAGACTCATTGCAGTTACGCGGAGGTAAAAGCACGGGAGGCCCGATATCTCCGCAACTAATTTATGCGGATGGCTATCCTAAATCCCTCATAAGCCGATGCCTACGTGGCCGTCCCCCGAGGACCCGACCAGAACCAACCCCTACGATATGGCATGCGCTAGCATACGTGAAGGATGTGTTGGAAGCGACCGAGCGCATTGCTGCAGGACTGGGTGTCGGAATTGTGCACCGTCCCAAGGCTACCATGCGCAGCCGGATCATGAGAA